GTTTTTATTCGTAATACATAATATCAGATAGCTAGGAAATATGGATAATTACATGAGACAAATACTGCAACAATTCTGTTGTTGTAGAGTTATGCACATCCTTCACATTATCATAATCATATGAAGTCTACACACAGGTTGAAGGCATATTTTCTTGACTGCTCGCGCAATTATAGAACCCCTGGCATTGCCGGCGAAACGTCTGGGAATGTACCACATCCACGGTCCTACTCTGGAAATGATAATGCATACAATGGACTCCGGACAAGGTGTATTCCTCTAAATCTTCCTACCAATATGACCATGTTGCGAAAACAAGGTTAAACAACTTCTATACAACGAAAGGAGATTGCGATCAGCACTTGTCTGTTGAAAACGACATTGTCAATTTTGCTGCTAGAGTACCTTCGAAACCTAGTTTTTCTACTAACCTGCATAGTCAATTTTGGCCAATGATTTCGATGCAATTACTGATCTCCGTTCTAACTCCGTTCTATTACCACTTGTACATCTATCTATTTTATAGAATTTTGCTTTTTATTGCCTCTCCAGGCAGCAATGAAAACACTGGGCTCACACAATTTGATTTTCCTTATATATTATTAATTTATTAAGTCCCTACAACAAGAATATTCCGCAATACATATATAAAAATACGCACGTGCTTGGCTCTACTAGCGCCTAATTGGTCAGGGAGATCTCTTAGACATGGGCTAAAGGATCTACTTCTGAAATTATTTTTTCTGGACCTGAGTAATATTGTGGGTTACGGTTAGATCCAGATGAGGTACAATCTACAGTTTATTTATGAGGATCACCCTTTGTGACACGTGGTACAGCCTTCATCTACGGCGTTAACAAGTTTGCTTACAATTTATTCTGGACTGACCAAATGCATATGCCTTAAAACTCCAATCAAATCCTTATCATAAGATTCCTTTATAATTATGATATTACCATTAGCATTATTATTAAAAAAAGCAGTAAACTTGATTACAATAGTCATATCTTAATATTAGTCTGAAAGGATGTACAGAACAGCTCTTTTTAATAAAATAAGACCTCAAACTCATTGTTACCCAGACGTAAATGTATTTATTTGGTAAACAATTACCAATTGGCTGGATTACCACATGGCAGGTCAAAATGCGATTTCAATAGGTTAAAATTATTCTCAGACGCCAATACTTTGTGTCAGAAATGAATGCGCAAACAGCAAATAAGACATGATATTTAGCTCATAAATTCTTGACCTATTATGATTTCTTCTGGAGCAGTTTTTTTCATAATTGCTAAAAGACAGTAGTCGATATTGCTTGATGTGTGTGAATTGGGCAAAAGAACTCAAATTTATTGGTAAATGAGTACCGGCAATACTCATTAAATAATTCATAATCGTTATACCAGCACATCAGAGTTCAATTCAAGTATAATCATAACGAACAATACTTCTTTATAGCCCACAAAAGTTGGATGCCTAATTTCATTTTTCTGGTACACTGGTTAACAATTTGCACAATAATAGCTAACCGCGCATTAAATTAAAATTGGGGAAATGGCATATTATTTTCTCAAATCGCATCATAACATTGTCTAAAATTATTTAGCTTTTTTCTCGAAAAATTTATGTTTTTGCTTACTCCCTCAGCTCATGAGTTTAGTAAGGCAAAAATGATACAATTAAAGTAAAATAATTTAATGGATTGTTATACTAATAAATCTGGCTACGGATCATTTAAGAGCTTTGCGGTACTTTGAAGTAGGATTCACGAAATGAAGAGATAAAATAGTTGATGCCACCCCGATTTGGATTGTGGGCTTTTGCATGCCTATTTTTACATATGCTTAATATGCCTGTTTCTTACGAGTCCACATCGCTATTTTATTTTCACTCTTAGAGCTTTTTTATCTTTCTCTATTTCGGAACTTGACATATGTTTATTCTAATATAGAATAATTTATGTTAAACTTTTTGAATTATTTTACTGTGTTTGATTCTTATGCTTTATCCATTTGTTCTTCGTGATTTTTTGTACTAAATTTTTCATATTTTTGCAATATTTTTTTGTTTTTCTCTTACCTTTTCTTTTCATTTATTTGAGGATGACTAGATGCGCTAGCCTTAGATTCAAATTATTTAATCTATTTTTTACTAAAGTTCTCCTGGAATTTAGCTACTTTTAAGCCTATTAGTGTAAAAATTTATTAAGCTTTATTAGCTATCATTTTGGGTTATATTTCTCCTTAAACATTTAAAAAAACTACAACAAATCTTATATAACTTTTCACTGAAATCAACCAATGATTTGGCATATCATGTTCGTTAGTACTGCGCTAGGATGTTTGTTCAATTTATAGACTATAGATTATTTTAGAAGTTGTTTGACCTTGTTTTCGCAACTTGGTCATAGTGGTAGGAAGACTGATAGAAACGCACCTTGTCCTGAGTCCATTGTATGCACACGTTTGGTCAAAGGATCGGCTTCACTTGTCTCTTTGACGAGTTGTAATATAGTGCTACGAATGG